CGACTGTTTTTTCAACCGAGTTTTGTAATTTTTCAGTGTCTCAACAGCCACTCCATCGTTTATTCGCCATTATCGAGATTTTAACGAACACGCGTGAACACCTTTCAACACCTTTCGACTCGAGTGCTAACAAATAGACGTTTCATGGTAATACGGTATTTTATGGGAAACGTGAATGTGCAAAAATGCATGCAACGTGAACAAATATGCAAAAGTATAAATACCCAACGTAAATTACTGGATCACGGTTTCCATTCCGCGTGGAATTTTTAATACATTTTTCATCGCCGATCTATTTAATCCTCCGACTACTGAAGCTCAGCGTCCTGTGCCGGAGTCATTTTGACCCACACGATATCCCACTAATAAATATTTAGGATTTACCGATACTGTACAGAGTGACGGTCTTCGCTGATATTGTACCAACGCAGTGAGAGACACCCGACTCATATAGGAACATGTAGGAGTATAAGGAACAAATAATAGTCACATGAATAATAAAGTTATATATATTTACTATACATTTATGTCATTCGCTGTCAAGAACGTGTTGTGAAAAAGGAGACAAAGAAAGATTGCTCGTTGGGAATGAAGACATTGCGTCAATAAATAGAAGCAACGGGAAAAGTAATAAAAAGAACAAAAATAATAATAAAAACAGTAAATTAATAAAAAAATAGTAAAATATTAAAACAGTGCTGAAAACTAAAATCTAAATAATAAATACAAAAATAATATAAACTACTAAATATTAAAGAAAATAATACAAACGAAATATTATTAAATACTAAATACTAAAATACTAAAACAATAACAAAAACACTAAAATATAAAATAAACTTTGAAATAATATTGAAAATAATATTAATATTTTGAAAAAATTTTTTAAATAAATTAATATCTTGGAAAAATTGCTTCGATTTGCTGCACACGTCTTTCTCCCTTTTTTCGTCTTCGGCAATTTGGCAAACACGTGGCACACAGCCGCATGATGCGTTAGTGCGATCACTAACACAAGCAATTCCCGGCACAGTAGGCGGAAAGTTAACAAGCGAGATAAATTTCTCTTCGGACTTCGTTTCATTTCCTCGTTACCAACTCTGTTGGAAAGAATCAACGTCGAAGGTCGGGTAATGAAACAAATTCCAAGGCGTGTACCTGCTTGTCTATTCGTAAGGTGAACGACGAAACATTATTGACGCCCGTTGAAGATGGGGCCACGCGTTTGACATTTAATTCATCGCGGCCGAAGTGTCTGTCTAGCATTCGCGCGGGACAAATATTAACTCGCCTCTCCAGAACTCGTCTGGTGCACCTCCCCCAACGTCGTCGGCCGTGACGCTCGCATTACACTTTACTTTGCGAGCAGGCAAATGTCAGAATCGTCCGAGATCCGGCAAGAATCTTAGAGGAGGATTCCTCTCCGCGAAATCGATTACAGTAGAAGGGATACACGCCGCGGGGTAGATCGATGCAATGAGCGATGAGCATTCCAGCGCAACGTCGCGTTTCTTGCAAGAATCGTATTTTCGGCGAAATTTTGGATCGTGCTCGAGAGAGGAGGATCGCAAAAAATTGGAGGATCGGCTGGCGTCGGCAAGGACGTCGACCTTGTCGCTGCAGCAAGGCCGCCGAGTGAGAAGAAGGTCGATCGAGAGAACGGTACCAGGATATTCGTCGGAATGCTCGCTTTTGTCGCTCCTCCTGGCCTATATTCTTACGTCAAGGACGACGCGTGCCTCGCTCCGCCCGCGAGGAGAGCTCACTTTCATCCTCGATTTCGAGTTTTCCCGGCTGACCTTCGTCGCGGCTAGTCGATACTTTCAATGACACCGGGAAGAGCAGCGATTTCCTTGCCCCGGCGACGTTGCCCTCGTGCGCGCCATCGTCGACGTGTTCCATGATAACCAATCGAATAGGCGTGTAATTCTCTCGTGATTGATTACGACGATCATGGCGGTGATAGCCGTTGGCCTGGTTTAGAATTTACACACGCCTTTCTCGCATTACGAAATAAGAGCGTGATTCATGTACGCCGGGATTCAGCAAAGGTTGGCCTATCGACGGAGCACGGTTGAAGTAAAAGTAATTTGGGTGGGAATTGGATTGCATCTGTTTTTGTTGTCCGTTTGCCAAGGGCTGATTAATCGCGCGCCCAGTTTCCACAATTCCGTGTAATTTCAATTAACGCGGGCGGTTGTAAATCACGCTGTTAATTTTTCACATCGTCGTACTGTGGAAGATAATTTTTGACGTGCAACGAACCCTCGATGCACGACACTTGCAAAATTGGAAGCATTCACAGCGAAGAGTATTATTAAATTATTTATATATATATATATATATATATATATATATATTATTACTGGATCAATCAACGATGAAAAATTGTCGATATTTTGAAAAAAATAATGCGACAATCGATTTAATTTCATTTTAAGGCGTGGAGAGACTCCATTTTGACAGCCTTGAGTTCGTTTTTTCTTCTTTCTTGTTTTCCTCACGTCACGTAAACGAGTGTAAGGAAAACAAGACATTTTTATTCTGGAAATTTGCAAAAATCCAAACGGCTACAAAAGCATTGGGAAATCTTTTCCACGACTAGATCTATATCCACCCTCCCTTTACAACCGATCCCTTAAAACTTGCTGTACAATTTTTTTCATCGTTATTTTATTGATCTTCGGAGCAGCGGAGAATGTTGGGATTTCTTGAATTTTTTTGTTATTCGGAATTCGGCAAAACAGCGAGAGAGAAAGAGAGAGAAAAAAAGTCGTACGACAAGTCTCAAGGGATCGCCATAAAGAGAGAATTTTAATCTCCAAGACCGTGGTGGACTTGGTCGTGAAAAAAAAATTCAGTTGTGCTCGTCGCTGGAAGGCAAGGGTTGCCGAAACGATTCTCGTTTCTCTCAGGCTTTCTCGCCGGCCAATATTACTTTATCGGACAGAGAAGTTCTCTCTCTCTCCCGTCTCGTTGGACAATAAGGGCGTGTTGAACTTGCGAAAGAATTTGATTTCCGATCGGTGGTGACTCGATCAACCGGTCTTGATCTAATTAGACGCATTCCCGGTGACCGACCGCCCGTCTGTACACGAGGTTATTACCCGAGGCTGGCAGCTTCGATACAATCGGTGTTTCCAATTACGGTTGCTTAATTCTCTCTCTCTCTCTCTCTCTCTCTCTCTCTCTCTCATTCTCCGCGTCCTCCACGTCGAATTACAAAAATTCGCTCGCCAGATTGTCAGATGCGCGCCGTGGCCTAATGACAATTATGCAACTGCGCGTTGTTATTCCATCGCCGCACATGGGAAGGCAAGGAAACACATGAGCGTTTCATGGTTTCACCGCGCCTTGTAGCTCCGTCGAGCGCAAAAACGTTGACCCAGAATGCTTCCGATGCACGTGGGTTTCTATCGCTTTCGACCGGCAATTGGGGGAAAAATCGGGGAAAATAAAGAGGAGAACGAACTCACGACTTTCGATTCGTACAGTGTTCCCCGTGTTTCGTCGCTTTCTCGTTTTTCGTTGTTTCCTTAACAAATTCAACACCCGCGCTTTAATTTGGAATCGGAAAGTATTGTTAACCAATAAGAACAGTTTCCTTTTCCTTTGTTCATTTTTCATTTGCTTCAAACCTACAATAAAGGGATATAAATATTCCTTGTGATTGTCTACGAAAGAAAATATCAACAATTATTGACCAAAAGTATTATTATACAACACTAGAACTACCAAAGTGATCAAAACGACCAATTTATAATTTTTCTTCGAAACTTTGTAGATACGAAACAGTGCATTTTTAGAGATTGAAATGATTTTTTTTTTTTTTGTAAAATATATAGATAAAAAGTTATTGTTTCATTTTAACGTCTCTGACGGAAATTTCTTACGTAAGTCGGTAGTTCTAGTGTTAAAATAAGAACATTTTCCCTTCTTTTTACTAATTTTAACTTGTAATGAAGCTCTATATAAGTATTGTGATTGTCTACAAAAAAAAAAAAAAAAACATAAAAATTGACCGTGTCTAGAGGATTAATTAATGCCAGCCAATTAAATTTTGACACTTGAATCCCCGGTATCTCTGGCGATATATTTGTTACACGGTCGCTAACGACGCGACGTGGAAAAGGATTTACATAGAACAAGCCGGGCGGTACAGCGTTATTGTACAGGCACGTATTCTCACGTCGAAAGTACAACAAGGAATGGCGTAAGTCACGTTTTCCAACAAATCAATTCGTCGTTCCAGCAGTGGCACGGTCCCACGATGAAATTGTGCCAGAAAGCTTTAGTGGGATAATCGAATCCGCCGGCAGGCGAAAACAATGGTGGAACGTAGAAACCATTTTCAACGATAGCATGCTATTTAGCTGGTAACAAACTGGCACCGCAACCACTACCAAACGCAACGCATCTCGCTCGTTGCTTCGTTGTCTTCGTTCCTGATGAAACATCGTCCGCGCCGTTACGGCCACGCCGATTACGAAAATTCGGCGCCGACGTTTTCGATTTCGTTGCTCGCGTCGCTGTGGTTCACGAACGGTTCACGAATGGAATGTATGCACGAACGATCGGCCGAATTTCTCGACTTGTGCTTACGCGCAAGGTCGATCGAAAATCCGGTTACTTACACCTCGTGTTACGCAAGCCGCTCGCTTGTTCTACCGCTCACGTTTCGATATACCGTGTCCCACGTTCGAAACACTCGAACTGTGTCGAGACCTCGTCGACAGTATCTTTGTTGTTACGTTCTGAATTGTTCCAGCCATTTCCCTGTATGAAATCGCAAGAGACTTAAACCGTATAAACCGAAAGGAAGTATCGGCGACGAAATTAACGAAATCAAGGTCTGAGCAACGAATATTTCAATATCCTTGTGAACTATTAAACGAAGTCGAGCGAATTTCCTTTTTCGTAATCCCGACACTAGGAGTTAAAAAATAACGCAAACAAAGCGACGAATTTTATTTTAATCGAGTTTGTAATTTCGTTTTCAGGATGTCAACGGAACCCCATTCCCAGAAGCGCCAGAGCGAGCAGAAACGAAGCGGCATTGGAATTCGAGTGCCCCGAGGAATTCGGATATTACCCACATCCGCGTGATTGCACGCAGTATTACGTTTGCGTATTCGGCGGTGCTTTACTCGAATCCTGCACAGGAGGATTAATGTACAGGTGAATACATATATATAAATACAATTCTCGTGCATTATATCTAATCCTCTGACCTCTGTTGCCGTTATATCCGAATTCTAACGTATTCGAATTCCGAACTTCGAATATACAAGAATTTCGAATTCTTACGAGAAGAAGAAATTAAAACTATCGTAAGGAAAATTTGTCTCCCGGTCGTAAGATGTCATCAGATGTGTTTCCTCGTGATAAGCCGATAATTGATCGAGAAGACACGAACACGTTCTGATTGCCAACAGAAACGTGGAACCGATCCCCGGCCGATCAACGAATATGAGCAGGAATTAGTAGCGCGGTGAATTGAAAGCGAAATGCCGGTATTGTCGTCCAGATATAGACAAACTTAATGGATGTACCTCTCCCGTGTTCCCAGGAGTCGCGCGTGTTGCGAAATTCCGCGGAGATTTTTATTTCTTGTTCGTTTTCCAATCTTGAAACAAGAATTGGTACGTCCACATTTCGAGATGCTAACTTCTACGATTTGTTTTTGATGGCACCGTCTCGTTCTCGTTCAAACTAAAATCCAAAACGTCCAAGATTGTAATGTAGGCGTGTATCTCACCGAGTTTCGAATAACGTATCGAACGAAAGATATTCTAAATACTATTCACGAGATGATCTACGCGATTTGGAGCCAACGATCGGAGAAACTTGTTTTCCGATCGAATCGCCACATTCGATCGAAAAAAAGGAAACACGTTGGAAGTCGAGACGAGACGTTACAATGGTCGATTAGCATGAAAGTTCGAACGAAAGACCGGCAGCTGTTGCTACTTTCTTTTTTATTTTTATTTTTTTATTGACGTTTCAATTTCAAGTTTCAATTATTGACGGTAATAAAAGTTTCAAAGAAAATTTCGAAAGTTTCAACGGAGGCAAAAGGAACGACAAAATGTTGTTTGACTTTTCCAATGACAATGGAACTCATCTTAAAATAATGAAAAGTAATATGCGATCCTGTCTTATTTTCAATCTGGATTTATGATGCAGAAGAGGAACGTAACCCTGGAAAGAATTAACCTGCCACGCATTCCGCAATATAATGCTTAAGAACGACTACGCTCACCAAAAAGATCCTTTCGATCTAAAAATACTTCTATGGTAATACCGCATCCAATTAAGGGCACTCAAAAATTTACCTGAAATTTACCTGAAGCATTCAGTGATTAATGGGTTTCCGAAAGTTTTCAGCAAGAAACTCTTTTATTCTTGTCTGTGACAAACGTATCGTAAAACTTTTGACACTCGAGTTCACAAAATTTCTTGTTCTTGAAACTTCATTTCATTTTTTTTATCGTTGATGCTGCGAAAGGAAAGTTCAAGGATTCGCACGACATTCTTTTTTATCGTTGTATCGTCACATGTTATAGATTCTTTAATTATGCGCAACTATATTTAAATGTAACCCAGGTAAAACAAATGATGAGTCTACTTACTTCTTAATAATTTCTATCCAGTGATATCACACCGACGAGTTCAAAAGGAAAAAGAAAACGACGAATTGTCGTATGCGGTTCGGTCACTCGTTATGGTCCGCGCAACCAAGTTGCCAAGCGCAAAGGGTTGAAAAGATCGAAGCACTTGTAATATTATGATAAATCGTGGTTTGGCTGTTAATGGATCGGGCAAAACTTCCAATTAAATTCCAGCATAATTTTATTTCGTATGCAACAACCTGACGCGCGACTGCTTTCAAAAAAAAAAAAAAAAAAAAAAGGAAAAAAAACAAGTAACGAGACGATATTGAGGGACTAATTAAATTCCTGTTGCTTTTCTTTTTCGCAGTCACGAGCTACAGACGTGCGATTGGCCGCGTAACGTAGGTTGTCCCGAAGGTGGATCTCCCAGTAAGGAAGCCGAAGAAGATCCGTTGTTGGAAAGGTGAGTTTTCAACGCTGTTACGTGTCTCGCTTGTAACTGTTACACACGTGGGTCTAATCATAAGGTCCAACCGTTCTCTCATTCGATGGCAATTTATCTCTCAGTTTTTCGACGATTTCTCTCTCTCTCTTTCTCTCTCTTTCTCTCTCTCTCTCCGAATTGCAAAAGATAATCTAATTTACCACTATGGACGTGAACGATTAGTCTACAGAACAAGTCGTCTCTGGACCGATCGATTTGAACGGCCTTCGGGAGAGCAAAGTTCTCCCTCGATCGATCTGTATCGCCGGACATCCGTTCGTTGCGCAACAACGGCGATTGCAAAACAACGAGTTGCTCGCGCTCGAACTGGCCGGAGAAAAGTCTCACAGAGTAAGAATCGGAACGAGAAAGAAACAAGACGAGGAAGAGGATGGAGCGAGACAGAAACCTATCGATCTAGCTGTATCTTTTTTTCTCTTTTTTTTTTTCTTTTCGAATACTCGAATCTATCGCGGAGGCACGAATTGATCAACGATCCGAGCGCACGCGAGAAAACAGCACCTTGAGAAAATAGAGGCAGTGACGTCAAGGATCGAACAATAAACATCGATCAACCACAATTAACCCCGTTACAATTTCCATTGCTCGCCTATTTGCCGCTAAAATTACGATCCACGTATACCGTGCTTCGTCAGACCGATTACCACATACGATACCACATCTTTTACTTTTTATCACTACGCTACTCTGTCCTTTCAGATTCTCTTGAATCTCGATCAAAAGATAGATCACGCCAGTTGCTCTCTTATTTACCGCGAAAGTTATCATCTCTTCATTACCGATTGCCACACAGTGGAACTTTCTTTCCTGTCATCTTCCCTCTACTTTTATCACATCGCTACGTCGTATCTGAGTCTCGATCGAAAGAGCTGATCACGGGTTTGAAACTCACCCGCTCATTGCCGAAAGGATTAAGAAGAAACCCGGTGAATTTGTTGTATAACACGGCGAGCGCTAGCCAACAATGAACCCGGGCCTCCTACTCTCTCCGCGGTTTTCTCGCGGAGAGCACTAAACCTCGGAACACCGGCACACTTCCCTTGTGCAAGGAGACGTTAGGCAACGAGAAACGGTCGCCGGTCGCTCATTAACGTATTGTGCGCGGTGTAATCGGGGGAAAGAGACGATTTCGTAACTCGGCGCTCTGGTTCTTTTCGTCTCGGTGCGTCCGATCGACGTCCTTGCCATTCCTGGCAACGTGTTTTGGTATCGGAAACTGGTTCGATAGGTACGCCCGACCTGCTCACTGACGGCAGAAAAACCGATCAACGAATCAATCCCCTCGAATTAATTCAGTTTCGCGAACGAAGCAGGCCGTCCTTTTCGACTTGGATATTTTCTCTAATTCTGGCGCAAGAAATTTTTCGAAGTAGCCTTCTCGAGAGAGCGTACGACGACGCAAATACTCGAGATTTTTGACGCTCGAGCATGGAATACTATTTCCGCGTAGCGACGACAATTATGGTATACCTGTGAGAAAGGGGAGAACAGCGCGCAACCTTGTTTTCTTATACAGAAAGAATCGCACTTGCCGCCCAAGTCCTCAAATGCATCTGTCTTTCTAAAGTTTGCTCGTCCTAGGGAAATGGCAGCTCTTTACACGCGCATTAACGTTAATATCGTTTGAAAATCGCGCAGATCAGCGAAAATCGAGACCCTTCAGGAGCAGCAACATCAGCAACAACGATCGCAACAACAGATCCGGGAACAGCAGCACCAGCACAGGCGTGAACAGCAACAGCAACAGCAGCTACAGGCGCAGCAACGTCCCGTTCAAAGACAACCGATCGCTATCACGACCACACCGTCTCCGGTATCACCTCAGATCGCCGAGAAGCAGATTCGTCAGAGGCAACAGGCCAGGAACTATCACGAGGACGAGTACGAGCCAGCGACGGAAGTGGAGAGCGATAGGCAGCAACGTGTCTACAGAGGACAACCGTCGACGATCGGCCAAGTTCAACGAGACAGGGATGGTCTCAGAAGGAACGTGATTTCGGTAAGCTCGTTTATTAGCACGAGGTGGTATTCGAAAATGCCAGTGTTTGCCACGTGTCTGTAACGTCTGACGAGATGTATATAACTGTAAATCAGTTAGAGATAAACCGGACAATCGAGAATTTCACCAAACTATGAAAGTCGTCTGTAAAACGCGTAAAAACGAGGACGCCCGAAGACGCACTCGCGTGTGCATAAATTCGTCTCCAGATTCGGAGTCTATTCGAATGAGTAATATTCGCGCAATGATCACTGCCAAGTCAATTAACGCGGTTGAAAGAAAGATAAATTTGACGCGAAATAAAGAACAGAAAGAAAAGAACGAACGAGAAGAATTAATTTTTTTCAATCAACGTCTCGTAGGAAAGGGAGAAGGACAGCCTGGTGAGCACGCGAGCCCAAACGGAAGCCCATTACAGGTACGTAAAATCTGCTTTGAAATCAGGCCGGCCAGCCCTGCCGCGGCGCGCGCCGCGCCGACCTTTTTACTCGATTTCTCTTTCGCCGTGGGCTCCTTCAATTCCACTGGTGGCTGCTTTGCCTTTACGTAACGTCGATCTGACGTTTCCCTTTTTTTCCTTTCTTCCTTCCAATTTCCAACACCGATTATCTCACGAAACGGCTCTAGCCGCCGGCGATCATTTGAGATAACTCTCTCTCTCTCTCTCTCTCTCTCTCTCTCTCTCTCTCTCTCTCTCTCTCTCTCTCTCTGTTGATAAGTACCGATCTAGAGAAGATTTTAATTCTGTGTTTCACTTGGCACAGGACGCAATTACCGTCGTCCGAGTCGCCAAGAGTCGCCAAGATCCTAGCATCCACCGTCGCCTCGGTCATCCCCAAGTCGTACTACAACGATCCAGACCAGAGTTATCCTTACTACACCATCTATGACGACGACGTGTCCATTTACAAAGACGATGGTAAGATAGTTGTTGACGTTGATCGATTAGCGACTCGTTTAGACTCATTATCTCTTAAAGCATTGTTTCATGGACACACAAGGGTAGTTCGTTCGATATTTCGCGATTTCCTGTGCCCCATCACACGCAGATCAGTCGATCAATTTTATTTCAGCGAATCTTCTATTCAAACTGGATGTTACAAATTGTAGAACAGCTTCAATATTAATGCTAATAATGGACGCAAGAAACGAGCGTTCACTGTTCTTGCATCTTGTATAGATAAATTACATTACATACCTTCAAACTCTGTGAGAAAATCGATTTTCAATTGTTATTCGAAACGAATTTAAGAAAAATATTTACCCTTACCTTAATCTTTATTACTCATAAAGTGTAACATGGTTTACATTTTACTGTAAACCGCAAAGAAAAGAGTTAACATGTCAACGACTGTGTGAAAAGTTTGGAAAGTCGATTAATGGTGGAACGCATCGCTGCGAGTATGACAAATAATCGGTGTCGTCTCTCGGTTAGATTACAATCAATACACCGTGAACCAATCGGTGCCCGTTCAACCGAGCGTCAAGATCAGCGAGGTGAATACGAAGCAGTACCAGAAGCCAAAAAAAGTGGCGGTGAACGAAGCGGACAAGTACAATCTGAATCAAGACGTCACGGTGCAGGACTACGACATCTACGAGAATCAGGTTTGTTTAGTCGCGCAATTTGAAAAGGAATCCAAATCCGAATCGTGAATCATAACTTTGTCGTTTCTTCTTTTTTTGTTTCTCTGTTTCTCCGCCGTGTGTCCGTCCAGGCTCAGCTGAACAAGAACAAGTTCCGCATTACCGAAGGCCAATCGTTCAGGTGAGAAAGCTCTTCTTAATAGAAACGGATGCTCTTAGAAGTAACATGTAAAATACTCTCTCTCTCTCTCTCTCTCTCTCTTTCTCCATGCACGTGAAGTGCGACGAGAGAATTACTGTCACGATCGTTCGAATCGCTCGCCTTGGACTTTCATCGATGTCTCTTCGCTATTCTTGTAAATTACGCTCCTTAGAAACGAAAGATGAAATAAAGACGCGCATGCTGCGACTTATCGTCGACTGATGATTCCGTGAAATCGAGCGAAAATCGTGCTTACATAAACGCGGTGACTTATCGATTTAATCGGCGTTAAAAACAGTAGTCACGGCGCGGACAAACGAGCGCGATTTGCTAGCGACTGGGTGACCTACTGATTCGTTCGAACATTTCTCGCTTTTGTCTGATGGCAGAGTTCTGGTTTAAATGAATCCTTTATCTATATGTTATAGTAAACATTTAATATCGTTCACAATCGTGTTCACCATACAACGCTCTAACAAAAATTACAAAAAGTGACGATCAACGGTTACGCGGCGGGCTCACACAGATACACACATATATACAATTATATATAAAACAATAGAAGGACGAATACAGCTTAGTGGACCTTTCAGATCAGAAATGTCGCAAATAGTGACTTACAATTAACACTTCTAACAGTCTGAAAGAAAGATCGGTATCGATTAAAGTCAACAACGAGAAGAAGAACAAGAAGAACGGCCAACAATACAAAAAAAAAAAAACAAAAAAAAATCGAACAAACGATCCTTCTTCTTGGAAGTGGCGTCTGCAGCTTTTTTTTTCTTTTTTTTTTTTTCGCGGAGACTCAGTTCCTCTGTTTCGCAATTTGACGATTAATTAATCGTCGCGTGTTTGCAGGCCGAACGTTCTCAGCCACCCTGTCCACGTGACGACTCCAAACGCCATCGTGGACACGTTCATCCCGCTGACGACCACCACGCAGCTTCCAACCACCACCAACAGGCCTTACACGGTCAATGCACCCAGGTGCGTTCAGTATCCGTCGTACTCGTCATCGATCATTGTTTCTTTCTTTCTTTTTTCTTTTTTCTTTTTCGAATTATACAATCAGAGAGAACTGGAAGTTCATTACGCGCGCGTTATTACCTCGACCGATATTATTCCGACGAATCGGTCGTGGCGAACGCGACGTTATTTCACGCTTTCTTCAAGCGGAATACGATTTCCATCGGCCCTTTGTCCTCCGTGCATGGATAAAAAATTCATCGGTGTTTATTCAGCGAGTACTCGTTTCACGATCAAAGGGATCGTTACGCGGTATTTACTCGGCACGAAATTTTCGCCGCGAGACGAAAAGATAAGGCTCGCGCGGCACGCGGGCTGATTGACGCGTAACGCGCAAGTACGCTCGTACACGTTCACTTTTATTATGCACGTCGCGCGCAACAGTTCGTGAAAGTGGTGGTAGATCGATCGTAAACGAAGGCGAGATCGAAGACGCCGAGCAATATAATGTACTCGAGAGTTTCTCGTGGGAATCATACGAAACCAATTAAATCGAAGTTTTATTCATCTATTTATTTATTTCTTTTTTATTACAACTATTGTAAACGGCGTAATTGGCATTTAAACGGCACGAATTCCCTCGTTTAATTTTATTTATTGGATCTTTAATTTCAATTTCAATTTCATTTATTTATGCGGGATAAAATCTTATCGTGTTTGTGTTATTATTTGTGCATTTATCGTTGTATCTGTTACTCTCCCATCTCTTCCTCTTCCCTTTTCTAATTCGCGCTCTAATCTAATGTAAGTTATTTATATAATTAAACGAAATGATACAGTTAAAGTTTGACTAACGAGTAAATAATAAGCTCGAGTTCTATGCAATTTCCATCAGCATCCTCGATCTTCGTTCCGTTTATGCTCGAACCGATTCTCCGTGTACTTCCGCGTTGAAAAACGAACGAATGGCCTTGCAGCGTCTCCATCGACCAAGACCCGATTTCGCCAATCTCTGTATTCTGTTAAACGAAGCATTCGCTTTCTCTTCCGGCAGTCAAACATTTTCCACTTGTGCATCGCCGAAAACAGCGTCAATTTTTTTCATTCTCTTCTCTTTCCCTCCTTTGTCTCTCTCAAGAGACATTCCTCTCGATTTCTGCCATACCTCTGCTTTCTTCATCGTTCTTTTTGCGTTTTTTTCTTTCAGCCGAGGTCGTCCACAGCAAATCCATCGTGGCACAGCACCACCGTAAGTCACAGATTCTTTGCACGATATTTTGCTCTTTCGCGCGTTCCGTACAACTAGCTCTGGCTTAACGAAACGATACGGGGATTTTGTGAATCTCGTTTTTTGAAAGTATCCGTAGGAGAGCGGTGACTTGACTCGTGTCTTTTTAGCACGGTTCGTGGATTACGTGGTCGTGCAATTTTCCAACTAATCGACGAATTATCGTTAACAAAATATCATCGAGATAGAAGACCGTAATTACGATCCTTCCAGGGAAAGGGGATATCCAATTTCCAATAGCTCGAGATTTGTAAACCTAAACTCTTGACGACGACGCGTCGCGACGAGGTGAACGAACGTGGCCGCATCGGATTAATGCAGCTAGAAAGTTAATTGCGTGCAAGCTGCATGGCTGTCGCTATTAAACTTACTAAACGATCATCCGCCGCCCAGCGGAAAAAAACTATAACCGCAGTGAGAAAAAAGAAGTAGAATTAACGAGAGAAATAAATCAATTGATCTTTGATCGGCTGATAGATCACGATCGATCGTTGTTCGTCGACAGAAAGGTGAAATTACGTTGTACGACAGGAAATAATAGCTAGTTCCTACGAACGCCGGAACGCAGTTCCTTTATTTTTTTCTTTCTTTCTTTCTTTCTTTCGGTGATCGGTGCTGTGAAATCAGTAATTCGGGGTTTCAGACGATCGCGGCCGACTTTGAAACCATCCACGGAGATCGTGTCGAAAGCGCAGGAGTTCATCGACATCTACAGGTATCCTCCTTCGAGGCCAGCGCCGATTTATCCGACTCCTCAGGTCGACAAACCGGCGGCCAAGTGTCGCAAGGACGTCTGCTTGCTTCCTGATTGCAGCTGCGGCGGTGCGGACATTCCAGGTAAGCACGCAAATTGTTTCCTGATCGGTTCGACGCTCGACGTGAGACAGAAGGAGGAGGAGGAGGAGAAATATTGGACGATGTGGTTGGCGGCGAGGACAGGACTCGCGCGTATACACGCGGAAAAGTCTCGGAATCGATATCGTCGGAAAGTCGAAAACGATAGATATAGATATAGTTATACACAAACGTGGGTAGACGGTGACGCAAGCGTCCGCGCGCCACGAATGTTAAGTTTAGTCGATCGGTCTAGCAGCCACCGAGTTGACTTTCTCCGATTCTAACGTTACACATAACCGTTCCAACTGTCCGCTCGAAAGTGAAACAGATCCGCCTTGCCGCTTGCAATTTCGCACGTGAGCGTGCTCGAAGCCTGTTCGAAATCGAAAGCTCTCCCCCCTCCCTCCCTCTCGTGATGCGAATGCGAAATTAGTTGGACAAGAGTTCGAGAGTACAGGAAAATTCTTTATTAACATCACGTATGCCTAATACGTGTGTACGTACGAAATTGTTTGGAATCGTACAAACGTATGGAATCACGTTCAGTGAGATGTTCTATCGTCCTTCGTGTGGAAACTATCCAAGTTTAGCGAGAATTATTTATTTAGAAAAGCCACCGTGAGTTGTTGATTATTTTTGTAAAACAGACCAGATGATGTTTCCGTCATTCTGTTCAACCCCTGCGCATCGGTGCTTCAAAGAGAGTCTAGCTATTATGTCAAGAGAAGAGAAAACTATCACCGTGTGTTAAATTAAAGCTCGCGGAATGAACGAAGCGCGTCGAGCCACGATAATAATATCCCGCCGCGGGCGACCAGTACGTAAGCCATTAAAAACAGCCATCGCTAGCTGTTCCTGCGTCGCGGAGTGGATTGTGCAACCGCATACCTCGCATAAATCATCCGGAAGAATCTGCCAGAGTCTCGGGTGTCTCTTACTCACTGCGTTTCGTTTTTTAATTAAGCAACTCCTTGATTAACCGCCTCTCCTTTTTTTCCACGACCTGACGAGGATCTCGCGATCCTGATAAGCGTCGCGGTAGATTTCCGTAGATGTAGATACATACGAGAGTGACTCGTGCTTGGACTAATTTCCAGACTTTCAACAATTGCAAGCGACTCGGTAGCTTCGTAGCCAATCGTTGGATATACATGTGTGTGATATCGTGTACTTAGGTGGAATCCCGGTCGAACAGACGCCGCAGATCGTTCTGCTGACGTTCGACGATGCGGTGAACGATCTGAACAGACCGTTGTACACCGATCTGTTCGAGAACGGACGTAAGAATCCGAACGGCTGTCCGATAACGGCCACGTTCTATGTTTCGCACGAGTGGACCGATTATAGCCAGGTGCAAAATCTTTACGCGGATGGCCACGAAATGGCATCGCACACGGTCTCGTAAGTTGAAACGGGATGAAAGTGCCTGTCTGTGTCTAGCCGCAGCTTCTCTCACTCTGGTTTCCGTACATCGACCGGCCCGAGTTACGGACATCGCACTACCACGCTAATTCGTCGCTCGCGTAATATATAATACATGGTTCATCGCCTGCGCCTCTCTTCGACTAACGTTCTAAATGCTCCAGAGATTCTAGGGGTCTAGACCAATGATGGCGAACCTATGACCCGCGGGTCAGACACTGACCCACGCAGACTTTTTAAATGACTCACGCGTTGATTTTTATAAACTTATCATCATATATATATAAAGGAATTTTAATTATTTTTCGAACCCCTCTTTTCAAAAAATGTTAAGAAAATTACAAGTGTCCGGTTCGAGCTTGAAAGTGAGAAATAAATGCATGATTGTGTTTTATGGAGGATTTACGACTTGGTTATGTATACATATAGGTATTTTAAGTCTTAAATGTTATATGAGTCAGTTGTGTCCAAAAAATTTTATATAGCGCTTACGATTAAACAGACGTAATAAACACTAGAAAACACACTAGATTCCATTCTCAGAATGGGTAGCTTTGCTAGTTTTTTATATAATAAAAGAGAGAACAGACAATAAAAAATATTAAGAAATAAAGTATATATATCTAATGTATAGTGCAGGGGTGACTGGGCATGATGTCACCCCTTTTATCAATTTTTCGACGTCGACATTTATTTTTTGCTCTTCACTTGCAAAAGTAAAAGTTGTAAAACAAAAAGGAAACGTAAATCGTAAATCCTTTTTCGAGGATTATAAAAGTGAGAACCAAAAAAAAAAAGTAGTTTTTAACCATCCTCCCCCTTTCCAAGTGACGCCACTAACTTAGTGACCAATGAGCTAGTATTAAAAAAAATAACGAACAAAATTCGACCTATTTCTCAAAAGAGGTTCGCCGTCACTGCTCTAGACGAACACGAGTCGCCTGTTTGAAAAATTTGAAGCACCTTTTCACTTTCTGAAGCGACATTGAGTATCGTGTTGTTTTCGATACCAACGTAGCTTCAGAGTTTCGAGCAGAGACGTACAGGAAACTCTCGGGACGCTTCGTTCCTTCGACGATCCTCTAATTTCACGGTGAAACTGGGGCAAACTCGTGCAACTTCCAGCGGAGTAGTCGACGACGCGCGGAAAAGAAAAGCGGTCGTGCTGAATGCGTGTGGAAGAAAACGACGAGCTAATCTGAAAGTAAGATTCGGCATTCTAGCTTGACGCTTCGTCTAGTCTGGTCTTGAGAATAGGATGGACAGGAAGGAAAGGAGTCGATCGTATCGCCCGTACACGATGTCCTCCGACACATGGTGTTGTTCGAGAGGGAAGCGAACGACTTGTTTCATTGACGCGCATCGGAGCGTTCCGTTGTTGAGGAACGACAGACAGCCTCTCTCTTCGAGAAGCTAGACAGACAGACACCGACCAATATCGTGTTTCCGGAACAAATTGCACCGCTTGCATCGCGAGCGCCGCGTTACAGCTTCGGCCAGGCAATTAGAGGATCGTCGGGGATCGCGATAAAACATTGAATTGCGATGCACGGCTGGTGAAACCGGGCGCGATCAGGAGATGAAAACGGTGACACGGGTCGCGAAGCAATTTCACCAGCTGTGCCTCTCTGCCTACTGCCACCTGTGCCGTGTATACTAATGACGCTCACTAACCGCAACTTTTTCTCCCTTTCCTCTCTTCTTTCGCTCTCACTCTTTCTGTACGCGTCACTTCTTTCTCGATCATCCTTCGCATTCCCATCATATCACGCAAACGACACTCGTAACATTCGCCGACATTTACATTCAAACACGACACCATATTCGACAAATTACCACGGAAATACAAAACAATCGGTGCGCACACGTTCCCACACGATCGATCCACGTGCCCGACGTGTACTTCCTTCTCCCCACCGATCCGGACCAACGATCCCCGAAACAGGTGACTACCACCCGGAGGAAATACCGCAAATCGTTCTCCTGACGTTCGACGACTCGGTGAACGACTTGAACAAGGGCCTCTACGTCGACCTGTTCGAGAAAGGGCGAAAGAATCCAAACGGCTGCCCCATCGCCGCCACGTTCTACGTCTCCCACGAGTGGACCGACTACAGCCAGGTGCAAAATCTCTACGCCGCCGGTCATGAGATTGCCTCCCACACCGTTTCGTAAGTATCGGCAGAGAAGCCCGAAACGAAGCGATCTTCCACGGTACTCTACCTTTCTCAGTTCCGTGGCATTCCTTTCGTGTCAAGTGCCCTTTCTTTTTCGTACCAGTTGCTCACGAAAGTGTTCGTAAACGCAAAACATCGATCGATAGAGTCGCGAGTAGTGAAATTTCAAAATATTTTACACATAGAAGTTCTTTAGTAAGTATTCGAATACTTTCGTGGACCATGTGTGTTTCGTGTATATATATATTTTGATCACCGTACCTGTCTAGAAATGTGAAAACGATCGACATTTTACAACGGTGTCTGAAGCAACTGATCGATAAAATAACACAACGCGAAAAATTGTCGATCGACCGATCGAGTTGATAAAGCACCGTTCATTTCATTCGGCCGTCTGTTGTCGATCATTAATCACCAGCGGTTCATTACCATTGCGCAATCGGGATGCTTTAGCGATTCGGGCACTTGCGATCGTTCACGCTCTGCTTGTACGCTGATCAATTAGCAACTAACGCCAGCTTGATTAGTCGGTTCGAGGAAGGTACGGCCGCTTATTCCGACAGAAGAATTCGCCGCTTTCACACCTCGCTACGAGTCGGGATGCAAGAACAGATCGAGAACCGGTTACGGACACGCGTAAAACACCGCGATGGAGAAGCCACTGGCAAATGCCACCGTCGAATTTCTTTTTTTTCTTTGCACGTAACTCGGTAGCGAGCAAAGAATTTGCCGGTCGATCGAATGTCTTGGATTGCGGCTCTGCGATCGCGTGTCCTCTTTAATATCGTATGACCAACCGGCCGATCAATCCCGGAAAACAGGCACAGTTTCGGTGAGCAGTTCTCTCATCGAAAGTGGGCGCGAGAAGTGGCCGGACAACGTGAAATACTCTCGGCGTACGGAGGCGTCAAGCTGGAAGACGTCAGGGGAATGAGGGCTCCTTTCTTATCGGTAATCTTTTATTTATAATATAATCTTATATTAAATTATATTAATTATATGATCTTTATTATATTTATAATATAATTATATTAAATTATATTAATTATATGATCTTTATTATATTTATAATATAATTATATTAAATTATATTAATTATATGATCTTTATTATATTTATAACATAATTATATTAAATTATATTAATTATATGATCTTTATTATATTTATAATATAATTATATTAAATTATATGAATTATATAATCTTTATTATATTTATAATATAATTGTAATATTATTTATAATATTTATAATCTTTTATTTATAATGATAAAAAAACGTACGAGTAAAAGACATAGTGGCAGACGAAAGTGAATTTAAAATTGGTACAGTGGGATATCCTATGTTGTACAACGATCAAAGTTGTAGAGTTAATTAATCGCAGGTCATCCTCCCTCTCTACTTGTCTGTATGATATGAAAAATTAATAAATTAAACAATTTTTAAACTAAACAATTTTTAGTTAAAATTAGTAGCATGTATATTGCGACTTTTTTCTGTCTGCCACTATATATATATATGTACGTGTTTGATGATAACATTTTTAAACGAAACAGGTCGGCGGAAACAACATGTTCAAAATGTTATGGGACACGAACTTTACGTACGACTCATCGATGCCGATATACGAGAATCGGCCACCAAGTTGGCCGTATACCTTGGACTATAAATTGTTCCACGACTGTATGATTCCTCCCTGTCCTACAAGATCTTATCCAGGCTTGTGGGAAGTTCCTATGGTGATGTGGCAGGACTTGAACGGAGGTAGATGTTCGATGGGAGACGCGTGTAGCAACCCACCAACTGCCGATGGTGTTTACAAGATGCTCATCAAGAATTTCGAAAGACATTACACGACGAACAGGTCTGTCTCGCGTGATTAAGATGGAACTTTCTTGAAATACCAAAAATAACGATGTTATACAGTTTCGATTGAAAGATAGTTAAAAATAATCGCCTACGTGCCGATCGAGTGTTGAAGGAATTACTTTTTCAGAGCGCCATTTGGGTTGTTCTATCACGCTGCCTGGTTCACGCAGCCTCATCACAAGGAGGGCTTCATTTCGTTCCTAGATACCATAGTCGCGATGGACGACGTGTGGATCGTAACGAACTGGCAGGCAATTCAGTGGGTCAGAAATCCTACGCCGTTGCCGCTGTTACACACGTTCGAACCCTTCGGATGTAACTACCCGGTATATACAATACAACTTTTGTCCCATTATTTAGCCCTCAATTCATTTGGATTGCAATTAATTCACGATTTTAATTTTTCTTACTTTATTTAATCTGAAACACTCTGATCTAAATTACCTTAAAATTAAAATTGAGTAACCTAATTCAAATGTATATAACCGTCGTCGAAGAAGTTTCGAAAGAAAAGAAATACACTTTAATACGTTTGACTCGTGCCACAGGATCGGCCGAAGAAATGTAACAACCCAAAGGTCTGCAATCTGTGGCACAAAAGCGGAGTGAGATACATGAAGACGTGTCAGGCATGTCCAGACATCTATCCATGGACGGGCAAAACCGGGATACGAAGCAGTCGTATCGACAACGACGTCGACGCGCACGAATGAAGGAGGAAAGAGGGATCGGTGTTCCGTGCGATCGAAGCCCACCCAGCCGAAGAAGAGTAGCAGACGCCAATCCAACGGAGGAGACGAGACGTTCTTTTTTTTTTCTCTCTTTTTTTTTTTGTACACCGATTCGATTCAAATCCCGTCCTTATTTCTCCACTAGCCACGTCCAACGAAACTCGTCCAGGTCGAGTACGCCAACGAAATCGACTCGAAAACCATACCAGCACCATCACCACCTTCTTCCTCTCTTTCCGTCATCCGAGCATCACAACGGTGAGTCCTCGACACAACATATATATCGTACATATATACAGAGAAACAACGTCGTTCGATTCACGTCAAGGGCTCGCACTCGTTTTTACCGAAACGAGCCCACTCTGCACGACGCGGTGAACGAACGCACGATGGCCGAACAGTTTCCGAGCCTCTGCAATTCCGATTCCGAGCAAAAGACAAGGGAAAATTCTAGCTACTACGCCGCACAGCGTGGCAACACCTGTCGTATATTATATTAATATACGTTGGTTGTAAATTCGGTTCTAATCGTTTTTCCATTGCCTCTAGTATAATAGTTTCGTTTGACGAGTATGTGAGATCGGTGTGGCGTCTTCCTGTACGAATTGCAAGGTTCTTTGATTAAGCAAGAACATTCGTAATTCATACGATCGACTTAGCCGTGGTTGTACGTCAAATAAGATGCATCGTCGTGCCAGATAATGGAATCGCAAAGATACTCGAGAAAAGATCGGTCGATACTTTGCGCTCGAATCGAGGCATCGACCGATCAATCGCGGTTGTCTCCTCTTCTTCTCCGCGTTGTCCTTCCTCTCATTTTCTTGCCCTCTCTGTCTTCTCTCTTCGCCCGTGATACGCCCTCTCTCTCCCCTCCCCCCCTTCGCTGACTCTTTCCCTATCGTTTAGACTCTTCGAAGCTTGTATCCTTGGCGTACTCGGCCAAATCCGATAGATAAATTAATTAATTACAAAGTATCAAGTGCATATCGTTGGTGTGCAAACGCAGACGCAAAAAACTGGAATCGCCATCGGTCGCCAATCGAGGTTTTTTTCCTAAAAAAAAAAAAAAAGAAAAAGAAAAATCGATCTGGAGGTTCAGCAGCACGCGGAAAGTCGCCTTGCGGACGATAGAGAACAAGCGTTCACCGTGAACGAGGTTGTCGCGCGCACGAGGGGATCGTCGTGTATATCTTTTAGAACCTGAAACTGTAATACGCCTTTAATCAATAAACAAACTTTCGCTACAATTCCTACATCTGCGTCGTCCTCATTGCGATTTCGCATTGCTTACCGAGAAATTGAGCGATTAATAATTAGAGTGCGGAGGTGGGAGTGGGTACAGTACGGTTGACCAAGAGCTCACGCTCAACAAGTGGATCTCCTGCCATTCGATTCCGAGCGCGACACCTACGTTCTCCACCCAGTATTGCGCCATATTGTTATATTTACTCTCCTCCCAAGTCTACGATGTGCATTGAAAAATGAAAAGTTCGAGAGGAAATTAGAAAGATGTAGTATCTCTAAAGAAACTCTAGTTGCAATAACGTCGGAATATAATTTCAACATTTTTTTTTCATATGTAATCGTTGGTTACCCTCTTGCTCTGCTCCAGCAAAGCCAGGACCAGCTTGTTCTCCTGAGCCGTAGCGAATTTACGCGACTTCTTCATGTTCATTCGAGACAATATCTTTCTACCTTGCACGATCTCCATGTAGGATTGTAACAGGTACAAGAACGGTTTCACAAATGGCGCGTAACTGGACGCATTATGAAGGGACTTTATAATCGTTTTAATGTTGCTCGATCGACTGAACAAATCGTTCATTCGTCGAATGTTAATTCCACGGTGTATTATCAGCAAGTAACACTCGAGGATCTGCAGAACAAATGAGTTTATTATTTTCTGGAAACTAGTCAGGATAAATCACTTTATCTAGAAACTAGTCAGCATAAATCACTTTAGCGACGTGACAGCCAATTAACAAAAAGATATTTGTAAAAACATCATATAAATCATTCTTTAACCCGGGATGTACCTGCGATAAGTACCCCAGAAGGGTAATCCCGGGTTAATGAGACGGATCCCTACTTTATAATGTCATGTTCCCTAATGTTTTTCTAATTAATGCATCCTACCTTCACGCAGTTGTAAATTCTCGAGAAATTATCGTACGTGACGTTAATTAAATACTCGTCAATGTCTCGCACGAGGTTGTCAGTCACTTTTACGTTCCTGAAAGAAATCCATTCGACAGAACATCGTGACACATAGATCGAGTCACTCGGATACTCACATTCTCAGTTGCCAGATGACCAGAGAGCATTTCAAACGCAATATACTCTCTGGATCGCGAGGGGCGTGGGTGCGCGAGCTGAAAGCTGAGAGACCATCAAGGAACAACTTGCAATTAACCCCTTGCGCTGGAAAAATTCTCGCGTCGAGAATTTTTTTTGTTCCAAACTTGTAACATCTTCTCAGTTTTAAGTAAAATAAAATAGGCAAGACAAGTGATAAATTTATTAACAATTCTCAACAATTCCTATCCCAGTGATGTCGTATCGACGTGTTCGAAAAGGAAAGCGACGAATTATCGTGCACCGTTTGGTCACTCGTTACGGTCCGCAATCAGTTGCCAGCGCAAGTGGTTAAATGAGATATATACGTGAACGAAGAAATTCTTACTTCTGGCGTAGAAATCGTGGCAAGCCTCGTATGGTTCCAATATCATGGCAGCGTCCAACAACAGTTCCATGCAAAGTGCGTAGTACCACGTGATGGCAGTATTATCCACGTCCGTTTTGGAGAAATGATACAACTCGTACATCAAATCGACAGTTTCGTTTATCTTCTTCGTCCACACCTGAGTTCGCGATGAAGTACGAAAGATTCGTGTCACGACAAACCTGAGGTAACATTTCCGAGCGTCGAGGTTGTAAAGTCTAAGTTACACGGCTTTACCATAATTTCAATCAGCGACGGTAGTACAGCGAGCTTCAAATCGTTCAATTGCAAATTGTTGCATATCTTGCAGATATTTATCCCAATCTCGATACCTTCCGTCAGTTTGCCCTGCAGTATCCTATCATCGACGAACAAATTGCTAACGTCACGTTTCATTCAAATGCTTCGGAATGTTACCTAGTTTTGTATATCGTCTGATAGATCTGAGCCACCAAGATCACTTCTTCCGGCCTCTTCCAAGTAACCTTCTCTTTAATAGTCAGCAACATAGGTTGCTCCAATTGCTCCACGTACATTTCCCCCATCTGTTGATATGTTTTCACCGCGGACAAATAAATCTCGCCCTTCTCCAGGAAACAGTCACGGCTCTCGAAAACCAATCGAAGACTCTGCAGAATAGCGAACTTCGCCATTTTCGTTTCGTTCTGCGCCTGAAATTTTCATCAATCGCGTCACACGCTCGCGCTACAATGAAATTGTTGTTTCGTTCCGCACCAACGAAACTACAGCCAGTCGTTGCAAGGCGATAGCCAGCTCAACTCTCTCAACAATCTTCTCCTTCGACTGTTCGCTGTACTTGCAAAAGCCTGACACGTTGTACCGTATTTGCTTCAACATGATGCTGCAACAGATCGCTTTGCTGTTCTGCGGCAGATGACCTCTCAACGTCACGGCCTCCGTGTAAAATCTCTTCGCTTCGAAATAATTTCCGTAGGCAAAGTGAGCATCTCCTACGACAACGTTTTACACACTTGACTCCTTGAATCGAAATCGTGTGAAATCGCCACTCAGCGTGATTTTACCCATTAGAATCAAGTATTTGATTTTATTAGCAGGTTCATTTATAATTTTGATCTGCTCCTCCTTCGCGGTATCCGAATTCTCGATTAAGGCCGACAGAGACTTGATCGCAAAGAGAGGCTGAGCAGTTTGAATCGCGCCAGCGCTATAGTTCAACATGAACTTGACTGACTTGCCAGGATCGTCTGAAGGGTGAATGTTTGTAACAATCGTGATCGTCGTTTCGAGGAGAGGGCGTTAGGTGAAAATGGTTACCGATGTGCATAATGTGCTGGTGCAACTTCCAAAACACGAAACTAATCATGTCTATGCATCTGCAATTGCGGTAATCCACATAGCTGAATTGCTCCAAACGACTGTCCCATGGATCTTCGAATATCAAGTCGACGAGAGTAGAGGATCGTTTGGTCTTTGCAGAATCGGACACATGCTCCGTTTCTTGGTCGTCTGTCTGTTCGACTGAAAGACAGAGTAAGATACAAGTACATACATACATATGTGTCTTGTTAATATTTGTTTGTAACGACGTTGTCGAATGAATTTTTTTTTTTTTTTTTTAACGTATTAAAGCATTTGTCGCAGTCAGTTTCTCAAGAAAGTTCATATTTTCCAATATAAACTTAGAAGATAATTTATATTTACCAAAGTACAATTGCTGAAACAGAACTTTGATGGAAATTTTATTGTATAAAACATTACGTACGATTTGATATCACCCACTTCAATTGCATTCTTCTCAATTGCGTTTGAAAGGTTGATCGATAGTTTTAGTAATATATACATACATATTTACCAGCGTCGTTGACAAGTCCTGGTAGAATTGAAACTCTGCGTGTCATATTCTCTCGCTTTTTATCGTCTTCGTCGTTGGTGATAAAGATACTTCGTCTGGGCTCGAACTTAGAATCCCGTTTCTGCGGCATTGCTCTTTTCTGCATCGTCAGATTCGATTGAGGCAGCGTAACGACGCGCTCGGGAATTCGAGAGTACATTGTCTCCGATGCTTACGTTTGTGTCGTCCACTTCTATCGAGACGGCTTTCAAAAACTCCTCTTCGCCGCAGGTGCTGCATTTCGTGGCGTCTTTCTCGTACATTCCCACTATCTTCACGTGATAGTCGTTCTTCTCGTACGGCGAGAGTGTTTCGTAAAACAATTTTTGAAAGGAAGTTATCGTGAAGACCAACACCTTGCAGTAAGCGTACGGTTGCAATTTCTTGATATACGCGGCTGCAAATGAAGAAACATGCAGTTACCGCGTGCCAGAGAAAACTGGACGGTGTGTTTCGGGTCAACGAACGGATCGGTTGACAATCGCAAGTCACCAAATGATGCATGTTGCTGAACGTTCTCCGCTTTTTCATTACGTAATAGACGGAATCGTTCAGGTAGTAGAATTTCTTCTGAATCATAGCGCACTCTAAGATCCTCAGTCTGATCATCTCTGCCACGGCTGAAGCAACGAGGAGAATAGTCAAGTAATTGCGAAATTCATTTTTAATGGTGAATAATCACTTTCCTCTCAGCGTGTATATCGGCGTAGCGTTTGCCATCACGGTGTCCAGCATTTTCGATTGAAAGCTGTGGCCGATAGTTGCCGCACACTTGACGAAAGCTTGCTCGTAGGGATTCATTCTGTTGTAGATGTCGATCCTCAATCCTAAGCACCGAGCACCAATTGTTTGACAATTAAATACACTTGTTACTTGTATTTTTGATCAATCGAATTTAATTTCATTGCCAATTTCTAGCAGAAAGAGCGTGAAATACAAAGTGACGTTGGCATTAAATTTTAGTGATCTACCAGCTTTCTGAATGTATAAATTAAATTTATTTAGTCTAATCCAATGATGGCGAACCTATGACCAGCGGGTCAGACACTGACCCACGCGTTGATTTTTATAAACTCATATATATAAAGGAATTTTAATTATTTTTCGAAATCCCTCTTTTCAAAAAATGTTAAGAAAATTACAAGTGTTCGGTTAGAGCTTGAAAGTGAGAAATAAATGCAATAATTGTGTTTTATGGAGGACTTACGACTTGGTTATCTATACATATAGGTATTTTAAGTCTTAAATGTCATACGAGTTAGTTGTGTCCAAAAGATTTTACATAGCGCTTACGATTAAACAGACGTAATAAACACTAGAAAACACACTAGATCCCATTCTCAAAATGGATAGCTTTGCTAGTTTTTTATATAATAAAAGAGAGAACAAACAATAAAAAATATTAAGAAATAAAGTATATATATATCTAATGTATAGTGCATAGGTAACTGGATATGATGTCACCCCTTTTATATCAATTTTTCGACGCCGACATTTCTTTTTTTGCTCTTCACTTGCAAAAGTAAAAGTTGTAAAACAAAAAGGAAACGTAAACTTTTAGAGGATTATAAAAAGTGAGAAATAATTGTGTTTTATGGACGACTTACGACTTGGTTATCTATACATATAGGTATTTTAAGTCTTAAATGTTATATGAGTTAGTTGTGTCCAAAAGATTTTACATAGCGCTTACGATTAAACAGACGTAATAAACACTAGAAAACACACTAGATCCCATTCTCAAAATGGATAGCTTTGCTAGTTTTTTATATAATAAAAGAGAGAACAGACGATAAAAAATATTAAGAAATAAAGTATATATATATATATATATATCTAATGTATAGTGCATAGGTAACTGGACATGATGTCACCCCTTTTATATCAATTTTTCGCCGTCGACATTTCTTTTTTTGCTCTTCACTTGCAAAAGTAAAAGTTGTAAAACGAAAAGGAAACGTAAACTTTTAGAGGATTATAAAAAGTGAGAGAAAAGGAAGTAGTTTTTAACCTTCCCCCCTTCCAAGTGACGCCACTGACTTAGTGACCCACGAGCTAGTATTAAAAAAAATAATGAACGAAATTTGACCTACTTCTCAAAGAGGTTCGCCGTCGCTGGTCTAATCTAAGTGTACAAATTACTAATCATCTGTAGGTTAATCGAGGATAGGATGAAATTCCAAGCCACCTGTTGTGTCTCGGTTAAGCTCGATGACATCTTTCGTATTCTTCGACGGTACGCACACGGTCAGTTTGCTCATTTGCGTCCAGTGTAACGGCGGTGCTATTTCTTCGGGCATCAAGTACATCGGGATCTTCGACAACAGCGACTGGTCCGGAAAAACGAGGTCATACTTAGTCGCTTCCGCGGGTGATATCGTGACAGTCTCGAACGCGTTCACTTGTATGGCTGACATCAGAAATGCCTCGCACCAGCTGATCGAAGTTTTATTACGCTGCTGTAAGATTCTAAGAACGGGACGAGCGACTCTGATAAACTTGGAGGCGTCCGATAAAAAATTGGACGCGACAGATTTTCAGAAACAGAGAAATTAGAAACTGAGACGAGGTTACTTCTCGAAAGTGCTGGGAATCGCGACGACGTTCAAGAATTGGCAGGCGAACGCTGCCAAGTATTTAGGCTCCAAATCGTCCAACGTTTTGATCATCAGTCTCTTGTCTCGAAAGATGCTGTTCTCGACTTGAAACAGATCATTCCAAGGGACGTGTCTCGTCATCGTCATAACTATAACCACGCGACTGTTGTTCAAGGCGTAGGACAAAAACTGCCAGGATAGGAGATCCATGTATTGTATGTCGTCCAAGAGGATGCACACGCAACCAATGACCTGAATTGAAACTTCATAATAATAACATAGGAAAACATAGTATGATATAATATAAAAAAATATTAATTATATAATGTAATTAAGATATAATTATATGATATAATTAACAAAATGTAATATTAAAAAATAAAATATAGATTATATAGATAATATTTATATATTCAGAATCGGAGCATGAACATTTCCGTAACGTAATATAATATATTGTAAAGTAAAATAAAATATATTATAAAGCATATATTTATATATATATTTATTTTAAATATATATAAATATAATAATTATAATATAAAATAATATAAAATATTATGAAAGAAAATATTAATTATATAATGTAATTAAGATATAATTATATGATATAATTAACAAAATGTAATATTAAAAAATAAAATATAGATTATATAGATAATATTTATATATTCAGAATCGGAGCATGAACATTTCCGTAACGTAATATAATATATTGTAAAGTAAAATAAAATATATTATAAAGCATATATTTATATATATATTTATTTTAAATATATATAAATATAATAATTATAATATAAAATAATATAAAATATTATGAAAGAAAATATTAATTATATAATGTAATTAAGATATAATTATATGATATAATTAACAAAATGTAATATTAAAAAATAAAATATAGATTATATAGATAATATTTATATATTCAGAATCGGAGCATGAACATTTCCGTAACGTTATTAAACCTCGTTTAATATCACGTCGAACATCTCGATGGTCTTATTGTGACGCTGCCAGTCGTTGTCCTGGCAATATTCCTTCGATAAAGGGAACTGTACTCTCATGATGGTGTTGAAGTAACAGAAATCTTCTGGATTTAGTACCTCGGAGAGCTTGTGCGATATAATCTTCTCGCGATTCTTGATGGTCGAAAAATTTTCAGCATCGAAAAGCTGGATAACGAATAGAAAAAGAACTGAAAGACTCGAGCGTATTTAGAGAGGGAAGCGAAATTCTAAAATTTGTTGAATTTATTACTTGAAGGAACACGTCGTACAGCGTAGCATAAATCTTCTGCGCGTAGGACGGATGTAAAGAAAGTTGTACGAGTTTTATTTGTCTGTTTCGAACGATCGTAACGAAAGCGTCGAGAATCCTCGACTTGCCACATCTTTCGGGTCCCTAAACGATTCATCGAGATGAGATTTTCGTCTTGAGAATTGCTGGACCGTTGATTTTTATACATTTGCACGGAAAATTGGAAAATACAAAAATACGTAGAATATCTCAACATAGTAGATAAAATTATTTTTAATTACTTCTATCCTGCCCGTTTATTTTATTTTGATTATCTTTCTGAAATTTCAATTTTAACTTCCTTTGAGACTGGAAGTCATTCAAAGCCGAAAGGTATGGATTAATTTCAATAAATACAAAAAAAAAAAAAACTTCCTTTGATTTTCAAACGTATAAAAATCCGCAGTCCATTGATCGATGCTTGTATTGAGATCCGAACTTCCATGAGCAGTCCAGCATAAACTCGCCCTGCCACTCCGATATCGTCCAAGATGTCCTTGAAGTATTCCATTTCCTTGCATCGACCAAGAATGGGATAAACATATTCTAAGTTCGATAATCTGATTTTCCTGGGCGAATGAACATTCAATTAAACGCCAAGGAACAATATCGTAGAACGTGTAAGTTCATTGACAAAAAGTTGAAGAAATTACGTCGTCTCTTCATCCAGGAATTCATAGACGTGACATTTCCCGATTTTCCTCAACATCTTCATACCCTGCGTACGAAATTTCTCTTTGGGCAAGGCACTGCTTAGAAAGGTCTCATAGTCGCAAGATATCTACGATGAAGTAAAGATATTTTTTTTCTGAAAATCTCGCGGCGATAAACGAATCGTTGAAAACTTTGGCAGGCAAACCTTGTCGAGCGAAATCATCGTCAAGGATTTCGCCTTATCGACAGGCGTACCGAAAACCATGTACTGTCTTCTGACACTGTGGCCGACTACTCCGCAGAATGCTATCCCTGTTTTTGAGTGATCGAAAGTTAGTTGAAGGTTGAAAATTCGAAGCAGGAGAAAAAAATCCACAAGTGGTTAAGAATTTAATACGTTTGCGAGAGATTACCGGTCGAGACGCCAATGAGAATCGTTTTGACATTAGAAATGCGTCTTATTTCCTTCATCATGTGAGACGCTGACAATAATCCATTCTTTGCGTTATCGTACTCGCCGTCACTTTCGTAGCCCTTCATCCCGTACATAATTTGAAATGAGATGTCCTTCTCGTACAAATACGCCTTGCCCGGGCATCCAAAGTATGCTTGTATTGTACTACGAAAAAACATCGAAATCACTTCGCAACCGCTTCCAACGATTTCGAAGAACGATCTACAACTACAGCGACGAGGAAAACTGAACACATGGAATTTTACTGTAAATAACATTTCATCGAGTAGGTATTTACACGTAGAACACAAACAAAGGACTGTACGTAATGTTTGGTAGGATATTTGGCTCTCGTAAGGAAATCCGTAAAAGGAACTATATAACAATGTGCTTGCTCTCACTTTAAAGCATGAAACTTCTATTTTTATAATCGCGAATTTCGCTTCTTCTTTCCATCTTAGTGATTTTAACGTCATGTAGCAAACGACGAAAAGTGTTCTTTTCTTTAAAAAAAGAAAAAAAAATCGTAAAAATTCGCACGTATGTAAAAACACTGAAAAATTTTATTTGCGACTAAATACATCGGTCAGTTTCGAAGACTGAGGTTTCGATTTGTACGATTTTTTTTTTTTCGTCATTTTATTGAACTTCAAACAGTGGGATCAGACGAGAAAAATTTAAGAAATCCTAACGTTTCGTGACCAAGTAGATTGTCATACTATTCTTTTCTTCGCGAGGTTATAACAGTAATTCAAAGTATTGACAATTTTTCATCTTCTCGTTATTCAGTTATGCTGTTCACTGTACGTATGTACATATGTAATTAGATACTTTTGAATAATGTTGAAGAGCACGTTTGCCAGAGAGATCAACTCCTGGACGGTACATTCGTTGGGAACCACAGTGATGCGGACCGCGGTGATTTGCCTCAGTTCCGTTAAATACAGCAACGATTCTTCGTTTTCGATCTGAAAACGCAAAACGTTTCGTCGCGCGCAGGATTCTCCACGGGAAAATTGCGAAACCTACCGCCGTCAGCACTCCTTTTGATATGAAACTCCTCAAGTACGTACTCATATTTGGACGCAACACGTCAATTATGGAAGCTCTCACTACGAATTCACCATCGTTTACAATTAACCTCCGTCGTTTCTATGTTAATTTGCTTAATTGAATCGAGACGATTTACTGTGGAAGGAACTGCGATGAATCTCAGTGTCGATGGAGATATCGAAGGCGAGCGACACGTCCGATTCGCCGAGACGTTGGTCAGACGGTATACTCTCTATCGTTTCGACACTTCTTAACGATTCCATCCGTCCAAGTACTTTAATGATCTAATAAATTTAATAAACGAGCAACCAATGAATTTCGACGTTTGACTTCGACTAGTACCGTTGGACCAACAAACACTATACGAATTTTGAGATGGATATTCGATTCATATTCTAATCGCGATCCATTGGTCTCTGTCGAAAATAAAATCAGATGTTTCGAAATTTTCCATCATCTATCCAGTATCCAACGATACTAACTGACCGTTCGAAAGCACCCGATCCTCGGGATCAAGTCGAATTGCTCGCACCTTGATGTTATTCTGATCCTTGATAACGTACTCGTACTGACTAGGAGCGCAATGTTCCCAGGCGCTGGAAGACAACATAAGATCGCCTGGTAAACAGATCCTTCTCGCCAATTTGAGATCTTCGATCGGATTGCCAGCTATCAGAAAGTGTCTGGCTCTATCGTCGCCGATTATCGAAAACGTTACCTTTCCAGCGGAGATTAACACGTTCACTGTTAACATTGAGATAAAGTCTTACCTTTTCTAACTCTGATTCAACGGCATGTCACGCCGAGCTTAATGTTATACCTTTCGAAGCGGGGATGTTGCTCTTCGCTTGAGTAATGACCTCTTGGATTCGTTGCGCGCACAAAATCACGTGGTGCACCGTTTTCGAAACGAACTCGTGTCTATTGACCTTCCACATGACCAGCAGATCATCTTCTACGTGCAAGAAGAAGAGGTTTCTTTCGACAATTTTTTTTTTTTCTTCCCTTCGTTCTCTCTGATATTAACACATTGTGGACGGGAGACGAGAATTCTCGTGTTTCAACGTTATATATAATTTATATTGTATAATATTACATATAATATATAATTATATATTTTAATGTTGTATAATTTTTCAAGAAGTAGGGAAATTGTTTCCTAACATACCACGCCAAGAAACGTTGAATACTAGAGGTATTTCCATTTTATTTAATAAAATACCTCTAAAATGAAAAATAATTAATAATTTTAATTATTAATAAAATGTTACATTTGTTGAGTACTATATATTCTCTTGAACCGTTTCAATCATATATTAAATAATTCAAAAAATACGAGAGACTACAGGCTACATGTTTATCAGAGCACACCGTCCTCAATGTGTTAATATAAATATAAAATAAATGATAGTTAAAATCTAAAATACACGACAAATAGATTCTTAAATTTTTTTTCTTCCCTTCGTTCTCTCTGATATTAACACATTGTGGACGGGAGACACGAATTCGCGTCTTTCAGTTTTCAACTTTTGCGGATGGCAGACGAGAATTCTCGTGTTTCAACGTTATATAAAATTTATATTATATAATGTGTAATTATATATTTTAATGTTATATAATTTTTCATGAAGTAGGGGAATTGTTTCCTAACATACCACGCCAAGAAACTAGAGGTATTTTCATTTTATTTAATAAAATATCTCTAAAAATGAAAAATAATTAATAATTTTAATTATTAATAAAATGTTACGCTTGTTGAATGCTATATACTCCTTTGAACCCTTTCAGTCATATATTAAATAATTTAAAAAATACGAGAGACTACAGGCTACATGTTTATCAGAGCACACCGTGCTATTCCTCAATGTGTTAATATAAATATAAAATGAATAATAGTTAAAATCTAAAATACATGATAAATAGATTCTTAAATATTGCTATAAAAAATATGTAGCGATATTCAAGAATATTTTATCAATGTGAATTAAAAAAGTGCATGTACGTGTTGTACAAAGTTTCCCTGTTGCTCCAAAAATGTGCGGGCGCGCCGAGTGCGGTATGCAATGTGTTAACAAATATACGTACGAGAGAATTTCAGTACGTCCCCGTGGGTGAAGTACACTTCTTTGATGATCATTTTTATGCAACTGTTTAGAAGAGAGAACAGAGCGTGGCTACCGCCATTCTCCGCGCTCGCATACTTCTTGTGCATGTCGAAGAACTGCGTCGTACTCACGGTCGCCATGACCGCGGTGAAGCTGAGAGAGCTCCTCGTGGATAAGTCGCCTAAGTGTATCAGCTCGTCGGGAACGAAAGTCGCCATCGTTTGTATACAATTGTTATTTCGGTGTGTGTTCAGTACCTGATCGTTTCATTCGCTGAATGAGAAAATAAAAGACAGAGGGAGAGAAAGATCTAACCTCCCGCAAACTGGTACACTGTTTCTTGTATATCGGGCCGATGATGTCTGGCGTCCATACAGTTCCCACGTTATTCCAGTCCGACATCGATTACGTAGCACCGGGTACAACTTGTTTCACAGGAAATGAATGCGAGATATTTCGAATTCGCTCGGGCTCGTTTGGTTACTCCTCATCGAGAATTATATTAAAGACCCGATTTTCATTTGTTTCGACACGACGTTAATTTGATTCTTTCGCGCTCTTTCATTGGCCTTGGAAAAAAAAAGAAAAAAATTACTTACCTGTTACTGGCCTTTCGTGTTAGGCGAAAAATATTTCTTGCGTCACAGTTCGAAAAGATCTTTAGATAATAATAATAATAATAAATAATATATATATATATATATATATATTCGAAATTTATTATATCGTACATACATTGTCGTACATACATTGTAATATATATAGTATTATAATACATATTATTATTATAAAAAGTACATATATTTACGTATATATTTCAATTCATTTTACAGATCACTGATTGAAAGATAATACTTTGAAATACTTTCTGTTATACATTTTTCAGTTCATTAATGACAAATAATTTCAGTCTTTTAATGCCGAAATTAGAAGATCGAAAATTGTAGTAAGGATCTGCAATGAATGATTAATTCTTCCTGGATTAATTCACTTACATTCGTTCGATCGTAAAGTACTGTGAAAAATCCAACGCCATAATCGCGCGTTCATGGCGTAAAAGGACATGGAATTTTGGAAGAATTGTCTTGTCAATAATTTGCACAGAGGGACATCACATTGAGTTAAAATACACTGTTTAACTTATTCATTACTTTATTATAATCAAGCGAACTTTAACTTATTATAATTATATATATCCGATAGTTAATCTTATTTTAATAAGATTAGTTTATTATAATTAAGTTACATCCGAATGTTAATCGTCTTGTTTATCATCTAGTGAAACTAGAAAAAAAAACTACTTAAACTACTTAAATTTAATTAACAACAAAATTGTTTGTAACAGAATGGGAGTCGATCGGGAAAGTAATCTGATCACATAGATTGCACTTAATAGAAACACAGACACGCCTTGCGCGAAAGCATTTCAAGGGATGGCAAGGGGAATGCTGTTTTTCGTAAATATCACATTGATCCATGTGTGATCCAACTGATCGGCGAGTAACGTTAAAGTAAACGGTCAAGAAAAGTAATCGGTCGTCAAATATAAAAAAAAAAAAAATAAGAAAAATAAAAGAAAGAAACTAATTTTGGCTTAAAACGGAAACGAAAAGAATGTAAAGTCTTTGTGAATGAAAGTTGCGATCTACTTCAACGTTAGTCACTTCTCTAGTCAGACGCGTCGTCCCTTGCGATAGAAAAGGCAAATAATCGAAAACAACTTAAAGGGGCAAGAAAGGAGGAAAGACGAAGGGAAAAAGAAAAAAAAAAAAGAAAGAAGAGAAGGGCAACATATCTATCTGACTAGAACTTTAAACTCTAAGAAATATATTATAATTTCATCATATCGATCAGGTCAACCTGATATTAATCTTGTTGATAAATAATTAGACAAATGACTTACAGTTCATTATCTTGCATTTGATTATAAATCTATGGACGCGAGCGGTCGTTTTCGAGGACAAGAGTCGTTAACAAAATAAAACTTCTATTAACTAGCGAATATTCTTAGAATCGAGTAAAATAATCTTGTTCCTCTTTTTAATCATATGTAAAAAAGTGTACATAAACTAAAGAAAACTTACACTTATTGAATTATGTTACTCAGCCCCTTTGTCAAATTAAAAGTTTCCGACTTTTGTCCCAACGAGGCGAGCGTCGGATGTCTTCTCGAAGACGTTCTAAAGATCATTATAAACATCTTGAAAAATCTGTTACGAAATAAACAATATTACTTTTAGTAGACTATTAGTAGAAAAATATATGTATATATATATATATTATATGAATATAGTATATGACTATAGTAGACTGTTAGTAGAAAAATATATGTATATATATTATATAAGTGTTATATGAATATATTATACATATATATATAAATTATATATATATTATACATATATTTTTAAATATATATATATAATTATATAAATAAATATATTATATGTACTTGTCAGAGAAAATACTATATTTAAACAGTTCGTTTGATCTGGTAAGGTATCAAATTAAGTTAGTAGTTGAATAATCATGTACCAATGCAAATGGTATGTTAACATTATTTAATTAATTAATATAATATTAATATAATATTATTCAACTACTCTTATACTACTGTTAACTTAATTTGATGCCTTACCAGATCAAACGAACTGTTTAAATATAGTATTATTTTCTCTGACAAGTCGGCCGTAAGTTGAATTTCGAACGATTCAATCCCGTGTTGAAATACGGCCGCGCGTGTACGGCAACTTTGTCTGTCATTGCGTCGTATTCGTCGAAAACGTTAAAAGAGCAAGTATTCGATGCCACTCGCGATTCCACTCTCAGCAAGCCAATCCAAACAAATTCGAAGAAGAAACATTTCAACTTCGTCGTCAGGATTCACCTCGTGTTTTACTTGTCGGTTGAATCTACGAATGCTTCGATCTGGCAATGTGAAGGAAAAAGGACACCTTGTCGACAGCCTGATGGCCGCACATGTTGCAAGTGAACGGCTCATTGTAACCGTGATATCCCATATGAACGGTATACATTACCACATTGCCAAATATGATGTCGCAGTACTGACAAGTAAACTCGTGGTTATTCCCGAAACTGCACGACCCGTTAGCAGTTGACGACTGGGCTGACTGTTGCTGTTCTCCAAATTGTTGCGGCTCCTGTTGCATCGTCACCTGTTGTTCGTCGTCCGTGTCTTCCTCGAGTACCCGACGATCCAGTTTCACAGCCTTTCCCTTGCGTCTGCTGGTGCCGGTCTTCTGTTTGACGGCTGACTTTGACGGCGCGCTCGCGTTGCATTTTCTCAAATCCAGCGGCTCGACGTTGACGTCCATGCTTTCGGACGCGTTCGACGAGCTGGCCGTCCCGAAAAACGCAGGTTCCGCCGTTTTCGCTCCCGTATCGTCAGCTACCTCCTGAGTAACGCTAGTACTGCACGAGGCGATGTTTCCATCGGGACATCGGACCACCAGATTTTGTGGCGCGTCCTTCGGTACGCTCTCTTGGTCCATCGATTTCTCATATAAATATTCCATTAAGCCGTTAGATCTCATGTGATCCAATTGTCTGTCGACGTTGTTGTCTTCAGTTGAGTTCATGAACGGTAATTGGGGGAGTAAGTGAGTATAGGAGAATGGGAATTGGTTTTGCACGAATCCGGTCAGGCCGTTTATAGGAGCGGTACCGTTACTCACAACATCCATGCCATTCGTCGGAAAACTCGGTTGCCAATAGTGGTTTACGGGGGAAGGATTGGTGGTTTCAGGACTGAATTGAGTAGAAGTCACCGTAGCCTGTCCACCGTTATCGTCTGTCAAGTTATTTTTTGACATGCTACTGTGAGCGGCCTGTTGCCGAAACTTGACTCGGGATTTCGGTTTAGGACCGCGACGCGTCCCGTAAACGTCGATAACCGGCAGCGGGTTTGGCGAACCGTCAATGTTCAACACTATCGCGGGATCGTGTTTGTACTTTCTCAAGTGAAGTTTCAGGGAGTGGCAATACTTCGTAACATAGGAACAGTTGGCGCATCTATATTGATAAACGTTGGAGTGTGATTTCAAGTGACTGTTAAGCATTGATTTGTTCACACACGTATACGGACACTTGTCACACTTGAACGGTTTCGAGCCGAAGTGATTGCGCAAGTGATACTCGAGATGGTGTTTGTACTCGGTGACGAAAGGGCATTTCGGACAGGTGAGAAGCCTCTCGGCTTTGATATGACTGCGGCTGTGATCCCAAAACTCGAGTTTCGTGATTGCCACAAAGTTGCACTGTTTGCATTTGAATGTTTTCACTTTACCCTGAGAGTTCAATCGTGGAACACGGAGCCCTGGCTCTTCCGTTTCCTCCAGTTCCTGTTCCGAGCGTTCCGAGCGTTCCGAGCGTTCCGAGCGTTCCGAGGGTTCCGAGCGTTCCGAGCGTGCCGAGCTTTGATTTGGCGACATTCTGCTCTCATCCTGAACCGAAAGATGATTAAACACCGTTTTTACAAAGTCCGTCGCCTCGAACTTTGCCGCGTAATGGGTGGTCAAGTGTTCGGCCAACATTACTCTATGGAGAAAAAGGAAAGAAAAATTTCGTTGCTTCGCGCTTGTTTGTTTGTTTTTTTTTTTTTATTACAAGCGCGTGAAATTATAAAACGGATTATACGTTACCTATTCGGCGATGAGAAACTGCAAACGGGACATTGTAACAAGTCCTGGCTAGGATTTGAGTCCTCGCTGCCCTGTTGCATCGCGTTAGAAGTTGCAACGTTCATCGCCTGTTCCGGCTGAGGTTCGTTCACGTTACGCGATTTCTCATACTCGCCAGACGAATCGCCGTTCTGCGTGTTGTGCCCGAATTGCGTGTTGTTCTGCATGTTGTTCCAATCCTGAGAAATCGCGCTTTCCGGTGACAAGCTGCAATTAGCAGTGGACGTTGACGCTCTGCTCATCGGAGATGTGGAATTGTTCGTATAATGATCAGGTGATATCCCTGAATCGTTGTTTCTGTCTTCGGTAGATTTCTGTCTCTAAAAGATTATCGCGTGCATTAAGATTTTCACTCTGAAACACCTTCTCTCCAAAAGAATCTCTCTTGGCGAGACAAAGAAATAGGAAACAGAAAGACGACGACAAAAATTTTACAATAAAAAATACAAGTGAGCATTCGAAGAGCATTCAAGTCTCTAAAAACACAGTCACACTACGTTGCGAGTGAAGAAACGTTTCTGTAAAAAAAAAAAAAGAAAAAGAAAAAAAGAAAAGAAATGACCGATTGATCATTTTGATCGAAGTAGTTCGAGGATTGAGCCAAGCTTCGGCAAAATGAAGCGGAGCTAATCGAGTCCCTCGAGTTAGGTTGAGACGACATCTTGTCGAATGGCGGAAGGGGAAACAAGAGATGGCTACCGCTCGGGGAGGGTGAAAAAGAAAAAAGAAAAAATACGGGAGGGTGGACGAAGGGGAAACGCGTGGAGCGTAGAGAAAACGAGAGCGACGAACGAGTTAAAAGAGACGAAGAGATTCGATTAGAGAGAGGGGTTGAAACGATTAGTCACCACGGTTTTATCGACGCTACACCAACCGGGCGTGGTTGGCAAATGGTGAGATTCTTGATTTTTGACAATGTGTTGTTCCTGTTGCTGATCCGATGTCGAAGATCCTTGCCAATTGCCTGTCATTTTGTCGTCCTATTTATCAAAGGTAAACAACAGATTATTAATCGCGTTTAACCACGCGCTCGGTGTTGCTTCGACACCTTTTTTTTCCTTCTTCTTCTTCTTGTCGAATGTCGAGCATGTTTGAACAGGAATTCAAAGCAATCGTAATCGAACCGATAACGATGGAACGTCACCGATACTTTCGATTGTTATAACTTTACGAAAAAAAATATCGTACGACAATCGATCTCGTTTTCAAAGCGTGAATTTTCTATCTCGGCAGTGTCAGGTTCTTTTCTCCTCGAACGTGTTTCTAAGAATTGGAAAAATTGGAAAAATTATAAGAATTTCAAACGGCTGTGTGAAAGCATTGAACAATTTTGTTTATAAATATTTTGATTCTTCAAGATCGAAAGCATTCCTTTGAATCTTACTGCGCGATCTTTTCCCATCACCATTTCATTGAACTTTGAACATTAAACGACGGAATGTTGGAATCTCGTGAATTTTTGTCATTTAATCGTAATGCTCGAGATTTCATAAAATGGCGAAAAATGATCATGCAGCAAGATTCAAATAGAATTCCTTGAGAATGAGAGACTTTGATGTTCAAGAGCAATGCGCGTCTGATCGTGAGAAAAATTTTTCGATGTTATCACAGTTTTATCGTTCGATTCTTCTTGCTTCTTTATTATACATGTCTAAGATTTTTTTAGCGACAGTGTAATTTACTATTCTGGTAATTAGAGAAAATTAGAAAGTAGAAGGGTAAACGTGAAAATTCAAGAATAAATTTCGAAAGTTGAATATTTGTTTAAAGAAAGAAAAAAAAAAAACAGACAGGACTGTCCGACATGGATCAATCTTCAGATACAATACACGGTCTACGCGAAGGGTTAGCATTTGCTATGCGACCGTACGAATTTCCTTGAAGAAACGGTACAGACTGTGGACAGCAGCCTAGCCTGTGCCTATTCTAAAGCAAATTCCGAGTAAAATCATTTCACAATGTTTGTCTGTTGTCCTCGTCGTCCTTTCGTCTCGCGTCTGTTAGAAGAACAAATCACCTGCGATGTATGGATAATCAGAGAAATTAATTGAGCTCGTAACAAGCGAAAGAGCAATAATAAAATTGTTCCGACACAAAATTGTCCCTGTACCACTGGACGATTCCGAAAAACACAAAACGACATCCTATATATTAAGCATTATTATTTGTAATTTGCATTGATAATCCAATTAATTCTAGGCACCAGCTGCTTTAATAATGAAAGTCCGTTGAACGATTCCATTAATCTGAACAATTTTTCGCAAACGTTCAAGCTCGTATTTGTGAAAATAGCAAAAATTTCTTTGCTGTAAGTAAATAACAACGGATTATAGTTTAGTTCATTTGTCAAAGCAGGGCACGCAAGCCTAAGTGTTCGAAGATTCTGTTCTTGACTTTTGCATGGAAATTCCATTGTTCGTTTCACCCCGTACGAAGATGGCCATAAATAAAGCTCGAAGGCTATCTTTTCCCAATTGTTCTGAGCTACTTCGGGTACCGAGCTGAAAATAAAACAACCTTTTGCGAGGAATAAGATTTATTTAACTCAAACCCTTGGATTGCATGCAAATATCGGGTGAAGTGAGAAACAGATTTCAACTGGAACAGTGACAGAAATTTTTTACTCTGGTGTTATACGATCTTAATTAACACGTATGGTAATTTATTATGTAATTTAAACGTAACATTACGTTATATTACATCCGACAGATGTAAATTCGCGAAGTACGAGAATCGTAAGAGATTCGAAGAATATCGTCGTCGATTTTGCCCGCTACGGGGCAAAATTCTTTCCGCGACGCCCAAACACTCGCATTCCATAACACACGCACGCTTAACACAAGTCGATTAAGACCAACTCCTCGTTTGAACAAGAACAAAAAGACTTTGGCAAAGGTCGACGAAAGAGAAACTTTCGAAATTCTCAGCACAATCACAACAGTAAATAGAAAACTTATGACGGGAAGACGAAGCGGATACATGCTCGCTTGTAAACGCGAACGGAAAGAGGGAAAACGAAGTTATCGAAAATAACATTGAATGATCGTGTCGTACATTATTATTACTTGGTTATTTTTTTTTTTCCTTCTTTCTTTCTTTCTTTTTTCTTCTTTTCTTTTTTACAGAATTCAAATCGAAAACCGCTACGGGATATTATTGGAAGTATAAAACTATCAATCGACGATATCGAAAAGCAAACCTTTACAAACATACGTGATGTTTATTTGTACAAAGTTGAAACTCGTACATGGCCTGTGCTAGGCTAGAACACAACATATTATGGACATATCAGGACGAATAAGTGTAAATTCAAAAGACTGATTTAATGAGACGACGCGATGGGACAAACGTAAATTTCTATCCGCGTGTCGCCGTGTCGACGAACGCGAGCCATCGCGATTGAGAAAAACGATCGTCGACGAGTGTCGTTTTGCCGAGAAGAAAGACTTCGCCGGCTGCCTCGTGTCTTTTTTTAATGAAAATGAAAAAGAAAGAAAGGAGAGAGGAAAAAAAACGAAGAAACACAATGGAAGATTCGCGACCACGTTCAGGAGGGAAATATATAACGTTTTGTTTTTCCAACATCCTTGTCGCTCTCCCGACATGTTGAATTTCCTCCGTGTTTGTTTCGATCCTGTAACGCGATGTTATTGCCGTGTATCCGACACTTTTCGAAACACGCGAGCGAAACGAAACGAGACGAAACGAAACGAAACGGCTGACTTCGACGCGCGCGTGTATACCTTCGCCGGAGGAACGTTAACTGGCTCTCGCGTGGCAACTCTCGAGGAGAGATTTAAAATCGGCGTGCCGTTGCACGAATCTGCGCGAATTGAACGCGACGCACGATGGATATTGAAACGTTTTATTTTATCCGTTGTGGAACAAACGAGCAGCGTAAAAAAACGCATGCTCGAATGCCGGCCGAACGATCGGAGACCGGCGCGAAAGAGAAGAACCACGGCATCTCGTTTCACGATCGGCGACCTTCCTTTTGCAAAACAGGATTCTGCCCTTTTAAGTCGCATCATCGTGCTCGGGTCGTACTTGCAACATCGTAACAGGCAACGTTTGCTCGAGATAAATTTGAAAGAAACGAAAAACTTACCCGAAACATGGAGTGTCAAACTTCTGTCGCTTCCGTTCTGCTTCAATGATGAAGTGATCGCGGTCGTCGATGTGATTAATCCATAAAATTGGGAATTAATTCTTCCTCGTACTCACTAACAGTTAAATAATAATTGCTAACTTGATAAACGTTGGTTCCGTCACATGCTTCAATGTTTAACGAGAGAATGGTTAAACGAAACTACACAGGAATGGAATGACACAGAACAGAACAACACGCAAGGGAAGCTATCCCGCACTTCACGATCCTTCGATTCGGACTTCGATCACGAGACTGTTGTAAAAGTACTAACAACTAAGTCCCAAAAATAGCCGAAGGGGCAGTTACCCTCTCCCTTCTTCGGAGCTCGTCCAATCGCAACTAGGCCATCGTCCGGATTCACAGAGGTTTTTCAATGCCCCACCCTTAACAACACCGTGACTCCTGCGAATTCAAAGCTTCCCGCACTTTTTTGCCAACCAACCACTTCGCTGACCCTTCTACCACTTCCTGACTTTAACCACTCGTCCCCACATTGTCGGACATTTTTTTCCCGCCTTCTCGCCATTCTCCAACCCTTTTCAATTTTTTTTTTATTCTAGCCACGCCTGTGCAGATCGACGTTCTATCACCTCGGGACTTTGTCTACAGCGCGAAATAATAAATAAAATTGAATTGAAGCGACGTAAAATTACTTACGGAGAATTGTCACAAACAGGAACGGAAACTCTTTAAATTTGTAAAATTATTTATGAAATTGTTTAAAATCATATTCGGGTTGGAATTCTTTCATCTTTCTTTCTCTTCTTTCCTTTTCTTCTGGATAGTTTTCGAAATTTTAGAAGCAAGAAAAATGCTTCTAATTAGCACGAGAGATTTCGAGCCCGGTGGAAAATAACAGAGGTATAGGTAGGTACGAGTGTGCAGCCTTTTCTTTTTTTCGTCGAGCGCAGTGTGCTTTCTCTTCTGTTAGACAGATCGTCCACCCTTTTATGTTTGACGAAACTATTAGCCAAACTTAATATTCCCAAAGTTATTGAACGTTCAAAGAAGTTGTTAAAGACTTTGACAGAAAGTGAGGAAGAAAATGAAAAATTGAAAGGTATAAATACTTTATTTTTCCAAGGGTACAATTTTCGGAATAAGAGGAAGATGAAAAATAAAGGGAAACAAAAGTTTTCTAAAATTTACTGTCTGCTATATTTTAGAAAAGATATGCAAAGCTGGAATGAAGAATATAATAGAGGAAATGAATGAATAGAAAAATGTCGAGGCCCTTGACTAAGCAGTACATTAAGTACCGTAAATTTTAACCTCTTGATCCTATAACTCCTTCACAACTGAAGGGAGAAAAAATGTCAAGGCCATAAATGCTTTGTCAAAACTTTCTCTTTAACCCTTTCTTTCTAATCTGTTGTTCAAACGGAAGCACCTCCGCTGCAGTGTTTACGCGGGTTTTTACAGTTACGTACCATCTATCTTTCGAGTGAAAACGAAAAAGGCGTATGCGTTTCCAACAGTTTTACCCTGTTTCTTACACGCAACAACCGTACGACGACCTTGTTTTTTCAAAACTTAGAAAAAATTCAGCTTCGTCGTAAATTCTCCTCCCGTCGATGCTCGAAAATTTTTATGTCTCGTCAAAAAAAAAAGAGAAAATTACGCTTTGCGTGACGACATTTTGAAATTTGATCACTTTCATTTGATTTCAATTTAATTCTCAATCCGGCAAGGCACACAGATAGGGATCAATGATTATTGGATCATCACTTGTTCGACCATAAATATCATCTCTTACATTGTCTGAAATAAACTTAATATTTATGTGTATACACATATTTAAAGACAGTTATTGCTCTACTTTTAGCAAACGTAAAAGAGAAACTAAATCAACTTTACAGCGGAACAATCGATCATAATACAAATTGGTCTGGTTATTTAGGGATCTGTAACCCTCAGGGACGACTTTGCTTTCAAGAAAACCTTGAATAAAAGTAAAACCGTTCGCAGGGACCCAGAGACGAGATGTAGTAAATAATTTTTACATTTGCAAGGAAACTTTTCACCTCCTTCACATTTCCAAGGTTTCCACCGTATTTTACCTCGGTCTTCATCTTTTCGCGATAAAACTAACGAAAACTCAATAAGCGAGAATATCTGTTTAAGTCAACGACTATCTCCGTACTAGCAAACGATTAATCCACCGCACGCTAAATTTCTGAGGATTTGGACAACACGTGCTGAGGACTAGCACAATTATTCTGTCAGACAATAAACGCCAGCTTTACTTTCTAAAATATCCTTCTGCGATCCTTTTGTATTAGAAAATTTTCTGCAATCACTCGTCCAATATTTTTCCTCTAATTCTTCTTTATTCAATTTGCCGCTATTGTAGCGATAAGACTCTCCAAGCGCTAAGGAAAATATATTGAAAAATATATATACTGTGTAGTACAGTATATGCTTCAGTAATAAAAAAAAAGAGAAAAAAAGAATCTAATCGTAGGTGCTGCGTTGAACTCGTTCGTCCGAATTTACCTACTCGGCCTTTCAACTATAGCTAATAGGTTAATACCTGAACCGGCTGGAAATGACTTTAATTTAAAAGCCTTCTTACACTTTACTGCAACGACTTCGATCAAATTTTATTGGAGCAATTAGAGATATTGTGTTAAATGTCATACTAGATGAAAAGTAGTCCACCGCTTCTCACAGGTCTATGTTTACTTCCATTATCTCCAAGTAATAAATTAAATATGATGAATAGACTCATGGATTCACCTGTCGAGTCGTGGTACAAGTGAATTTACCAAAAGACCAAAAGAAAAAGAAAAACATCAATAAATTTGTCTCGCGAGAAAAGAAACTTTAGTAATTTAACAATTCGCAGGTACAATACTATTATTGTTTGCTGAAAAAATACAAGACTCAACTCGCAAGCCTTCAAATTAGAAAGTCTTGAGCTCCCATATTTATAATTTATGACACCGGAACAATCTGGCGAAACTTTCAAGCTCAATCTCTCAGCTATCTGTTTTTTCCATTTACTTCTTTTCTCTAACAATTTTCTTTGTTACTGCTATTTATTATTATTGCTTCCTTCAATCTGTGCTTTGCGAAAGCACCATCAGTTTTTTGTAAAGAGATGTTAACTGGTTACGCGGCAATGTTTTTCATTTTCGATCCGGGGTCGAAATCCAAAAATTTAGAGGGAAAGGGGAGAACCTTGCTGAAACGAGAAAGAAAGATGAGGGACAGAATATCTCACATTGTTAACCGTGTTGACTGGCATGGGCGGGGATTATGGGTCCACCCTTTTCACTCTTTTTTCCATCACAGTCGACCGTTCTGTCTTTCACCCTTGTTGACAAGAAAAAGAACTTATCGAGTTTACACTGTTGCGAATATATATAATTTGCGATCTTCATTTTCTGGAGTTCTCAATAATCGTCTCATTAATGAGAATTAATATCTCTCATCAATGTCTTCCCTCGAGATATCTCTATGCAACTTCCTTCGTTCAAATTTTAAGTTACACCAGTCTTTCAATTCGAACACTCAATCAAATTCTCTTTTTTTTTTTTTTTTCATCAGTCAAACGTTTTAGTAATTCTCTTCGTTCGTCCAAAGGATCTCTCCTCGCGAACTTGCACAATAATTGTCTAATAGTGCAAGTTGCGTATCGAAAAAGATTGTTCGCCGTGAATAACAACGAGAGATGGGAAAAACTCGAACGATTCACGTAAAAAAAAAAAATCGATCGGCGGAAGCGTGCATCCCCTTACCTGAGCGCGGGTGTGTCGAAGCTCGTTTAAACAGCTGCTCCGTAACCCCTTTCGCACCCCTCTCTCGAGACTCTCGAAATTTTGCCAGAAAAATATTTTTCCGCTCTGCCCCGCAGCAGCCACACGATAAATATATTGCACCCTCCCTAGAAAACTATTCTCTGTGTACATACATTGAACCCGTTGCCGAACCTGGTCGCCGTTCCCCATCTCGACGCGAGAAAACATCTATCTGTTGTTCTCGACGAACGATCTCGAAACGACTATGGAAATTTGCGGAAAAGGTGGGTAATTTTCCAGCAAATTCCAATTTCCAGAGATGATAATCGAGGAACTCGAGGAATGTTGACCCGTACACGCATTTTAATGAGCGCTCGTGGGTAAACGAGTTAGAAAATACATAACGAGCCGCGTTATCACAGATCCAACATGCGATCTAACAGTCTCTATCTTTTTAAAACCCGCTTTGACTCATCGCTCAGACTAATGCCGTTTTCTTTTTTTTTTTTTTTTTTTTTTTTTTATCACACAGTTGACCCTTGATTCTTCGTTGTCGCGACCAACTAATCGATTTCGACTCTTTGTGCAAACAAATACAGTTCCTCCGTTTGTTGTTGAACGATGAGAAGTGGAACGTTTTCTCGGGCAATTTTATGATAAAGAGATCCTCCTCTTCTTGTATTTAACTATCGAAAATTCGACGTTTCAGCAAATGTGAAAACTACGATAGCTGAATCTAACGTCACGGTGTTAATGAAATTTCAAAGTTTCACGTAACAAAATTTCATTTTACGTAACACGCTTGCGTAATATATTCACGAAAAAAAGGTTCTTCTTCCTCGAAATGTACCAAAAACCTACCGCGAGTAATTACATCTTTATTACGGATCCAGTCACTGGCTTTTATGCGTTCGTTATGCGAAGGTAAAAGCTCTAACAACGTCTTGCTCCGTTAAAGAAACCGGACTCACTGGTCCAACGGATCGGATGTTTCTAAGGGCGCAAGGTGTTTTTTCTACCACAATCCCCAATAATGCACCTCTCGGCTGTATTATTCTTTCGTTCGGGATTAGTCGAGACCATAAAACGATAATCTCAGAAACCCACGAGACAATGGTCGTTTGTTATCTTGTTTGGACGTTGTCTGTTTATCTCGGCAACTTACTCAGAAAAAAAAGAAGAAAGGAAAAAAGAGAGAACGGAGTCATCAATGTTTTTTCGGGATAAAATCCGATATGTGAAAAAAAGCGATACGATGCCGATGACGTGTGCTCTCTTAGTAAACT